TTTATTTCCAACAAATTTCGTAACAATTAATTGTTTATTAAATCCAAAATATTTCAAATCTAATTAGATGGGTTATTGAAAAAATTCGTTTAATCGCAAACATCGAGATTATATATTTTAGTTAAAACCAGCAATGGTGTGATTCGGTTGGTAGAAAACAACAGTTCGTCCTTGCGATGACCGATCCAGTGAAAAAACCGGTTTCCCTTGACTGGAGTGTAACGACTGAGAATGTTCAGGGCCCTTGGAAAGTAGAAATACGAGCCTGGTTTCTTCCCGTTGAGCCTTTAGTCAAAGGTACTGGCCTTTTTCTTTCTCTCTCTCTCTCTCTTTCCCTGTTAAATGGGGTTTATGTTTAAGTTCGAGAAGGAAACACTGCTAAGAGGTTTATGCCCTTTCAGGGATACTCCGAGGATGATTTCCGGAATTGTTTAAATAAATTTATCAATTTATTCATACAAATCTAACTCGTGTATTAAATAATTGGCAAAAACCTGTTTTAGACAAATCCAAAAAATTCATTTATCTTTTCATCATGAAATCGATCAAATAGATAAAATAACATCGTTAAATGTATCTCTAAATAAGCTTTAATTATATTACAATGAAACAACCAACTAATCACTGTGCAATGAACTGACTTGCAAATACAATATTTTAACAAAATCGTTAATGCATTCGTCATATTTTAAAGATTATATTTATAACAACATGACATTGTACTAAAAATAATTCTTCAAACTATCCAACACACACGTATAATTAACAAACTAACAATAATTATCTGTGAACTTGAACACAAATATGATTTTAAATAATAATCATACAAATTATATATCGATAAACACATATACATATCTACACTATACTGAATACATTGGCTACGAGACCTCCCCTTATTCCCCATGGCCCCGTTCCCTGTTATTGGTTTCAGTGATAAAAATAAGCAAAAGTAATGGGGTTAATGGTAATGTATCGGTGTTAAAGTTAGTTGGTATGAAAGGAATAGGGCCCAAACGGGGACTGTCTCGTCCCTGAAGCAAAAGGTAGAGGGGTGCGGGGTAGGGGAGAGGGTAGGGTAGAAGGAACAGGACCCGTTCGAGTCTTGGCATTCGTGTCCGGTGTTTCGTCAGGGGGGGGTTCTCTTGCACGGGTTTCTCGAGTCTCTGTCGGTGTCGTTGGACGTTTGCTTGACCTGTTATATATGTGTGTGTGTAATATTCCTATTACTCGAATCATTTATCAACACTCTAAACGATTCCTTCATATTTTGAAATTTTTTTAATTATCATGGTGAAAATGTGACGATTGATTTTGGTTTTTATTCGAATATTTCTGAACATTTCGTTCGGAATAATACGCGAATTAACAAACGTATTGCGTTTATCATTCATCATTCCAATACGAAAACGCGTGTGACTATAATTAATTTGGATTAATTTAAATTTGGAGGGAGAGGAAAAAAAACGGACAAATAAATGGAAAATCAAACGAATTGAAGGAATGGAATTTGTTGGATGTCGTGGATAAAAATAAGAAAGAGAGAAATCTTTCATATTCGAAAGTATATATCCCCCCGTGCCTTGGAATCGAAATTTTACCTGAAGCTTAAAAGATAAACCGAAAAAGGTTCACCAGGTGGCGCGAGAAACGACCCGACCGTTCGTCGGCATCTCGTTTTTCTTTTTTTCCATTTGAATTTTGTCTCATTTTCGAATACCCAACATTCCCCGTTTGCGGGGTGAAAATATTTTTGGAATAAATCAAATCTGAAAAAATATTACGCTGTTTAATTATTTCTCTACTTTTCTTCGTTTGGATAATACGAAAGAAAACTAGACGGAGATAGAAAGAGAGTGAGTGAGAATGAGAAAGTGTGTGTGTGTGTGTGTATTGAAAATAAAATAAAATAAAATAAAGATAGATAACACACAAGAGTATTTCCGAGTTCCGGTGGGGTCGACGGAAGTATCGGAGCGTGACCGTGGTAGTTCTAACGGAAAAACGTGGGAACTATAGTAACCGTACTTCACCGATCCCATCATCATCATCATCATCGTCATCGTCATCGTCATCATCAACATTATTGTCGTCGTTGGTTAATCGAAGAAAATGGAAAAAACTGGAAAATCAAATCAATCGAAAATACAATCGAAATTACAATTACGAAAAGATATCAAAAAGATATTATTATTATCACATTAAAATGAACATTTATTCGAAGATAAAATTGTGTTAATTGTGTAATATCGATAACAATTATCTTAGATAATTGTGTTAATGAAGAAATAAGAGAAATTAAATGAAATAAGTAAGAAGAATAATAATTGGAAAGTGTGTTACGCGATTCACAGACTCCTTTTACTTCTGTACCCCTACCCCCATAACTTCAACCACGTTTCTTTTCACTCTTTCGTATCTTTTTTTTTTCCTTTCAGTCATCGCGATATGTGGTGCACGGTTAATTAGTCTGCGTTTTAAATTAAACGCTAAGGTCAATCGAATTAAACGCCAGTGGGCAAAGCTTAACGCGCGTTAAACTCATTCAAAAGTCAATGAGAGTTAAAAGAAACACTGTGAGAGTAACGAGTAAAAACGAACGGGGTTATCATCATCATCATCATCATCATCGTCGTCGTCATCGTCGTCTTCGTCGTTAAATGTCACGGATCGATTCTTTCTTTTACTTCGATGTGTGGTGTTTGATTTTTTTCTTTTTTCTTTCTTTCTTCGCATTGGAAAGAAAATTACGAACAAATTGCGCAAATATGAAATTCCTATAAGAAAAATCAAAGAGCATAATTTCTTGTTTGTTTGTTTTGTAATCGACAAGAATTTGATTCGTTCGAATGGTCAACAGGAAGAAGTTGAAGAAATTTGAATCGTTAAAAATCGTAGATCATTTTTTCTTTCTTCGTTTTTTTTTTTTTTTCTAAGAAAAACGAAACGAGAGGATAAAATTATCGAATGGACAAACAATTTAATTGTTACCGATAATCGAATAATTAAACAAATCTATGAGATGATCGTTGAATAATAATCGATCAAAAATAGTTAACCGAAGAACGAAAGAGATAACAGAAAAAAGAAAACAAGAAAACAAAAGGATTCAAGTTTGGATTGGTTAAACGTAAGAGTTTAAAAATACATTTTACCGATTACTGAATCGGCATTATAATCATTGAAAAGCAAGTTTTACCTACCATCAAAGGTATTCTAGCAACCAACTGAGAGAGAAAACAAGCAATACCAAACCATAAAAGAAAAGGAAAGAAGATAGTTTGAGCCCACTTCGTTCTCAGTTCTGTAGAATCATCAGAAACTGGGCTGACGTCAGATTGGAAGGGTAACCCAGTAAGATTTGTAGTATTCTTGTTAATCTCGTTAAAGGAAAGGAAACGAAAATCAAATTAAATCAAGCAAAGAAGAAGAAGAAGCAGAAGAAGAAAGAATAAAAGAAAAAAGAAAAAGAATACACTAATACTAATACTAGTAGTATACTTTATTCATCTGGAAACGTATGGTTCACGTTTACCTTTTTACCACTGGCCGGTTTTGAAAAACGTAGTAGAACGCGTCGTGTTGCCGGCCATGTTGTCCGAACCAAGCAAATGCTTTTTCTGTCTAACTGCTAAGCGTAACTCTTGAATTCTTTCTCTGTCTCCTCAGTCTCACTAACTCAAACACACACGCTCACTCACACGTTTATAGATAATCTTCGTGTATCTCTTCTTGAAAAGTAAAACGTGTAAAAAGTTTGTCGTTGATGCAAGCCAGCATTGGTGGTGGTGGTGGTGGTGGTGACTGTAGTGATGGTAGTAGTAGTGATAGATAGTAGTGATGGTGTTGGTGGTGGTGATGTCTACGTAGAAACGTCATCGTGATCGTCGACCTTCGTCATCGATCGGACGGGGGAGGGAGAAGAGAAGTAGCAGAAGAAGAAGAAGAGGAGGAGGAGGAAGTTGCGAGGGTGGTAGTGGGGTAGTAGTGATCATCGTTCTGCTACTAGTCGTGTGTGTCATCGTAATAGTAATAGTAATAGTAGTTAATATTGGTGTTGAAACGTGTTTTAATGCTTGTGTGTTAACAAACGCATAGAAAAAGAAGAAGAAGAAGAAGAATATTACTCGACAACTCATCGTGTGTCGAGTTAGGTGAACGGTGAGAAAACTAAGAAGGGAAGGGGAACCGAAAGGAGTGGTGAGGGGGAGGGAGGGAGGGAAGAGGTGGCCTCCTCGTGTCGTGAAAACGAACGATGCTCAAGACTGGTGGTGTTACCGTCGTTCTCGTCAGACCTTACGAAGTCTCGCGATGGAAGTCGGCCGTTTCGTGACGATTCGTCGCGTACGGTCGACCGTCAAGAAACCTATAAGGTTTTTTTTTCTTTATAAATCATTAAATTAAGAAATTTTTTACCGGGCGCGAGAATTAACTCTTTTATCAACGTGATTCGTCGAATTTTTGTTGGTCCCCACATTTATTTTCGAGTAAATAATTTTTCCTTTCGTGACAATACCACCACGCGTTCTCCAATTGCATTCTCATCCTTTAATCACGCTTTCACCGTTTCCTGTGTTATTTTTGTTGTTGTTGTTTTCTTCTTCTACTTAATCTTCTTTTCTTAATATAATTTTTCTATTTCGTCTCAATACACGTGTGTTTGGATAAATACGATCAGTGTACGCGTGTGTGTATTTGTTTGTGCGGGGTTGGGAGGGGGGGGTGGGGAGGGGAGAAGGTTTATTTAATCAATCGACCAGTGCAACCAACTATTTTTATTCAAGTGACTCGAAACTAAAAATAAAAGTAAGAAAGATTTGTGTTCGATTTAAAGAAGACTAATATTAATCCTGTTATATTTTTAAGGATTTTGTTTTTATCATTCGGTAATGGAAAATTATTATTCTCACCATAGTGCGTGATTTTGGGAAGAATTTGTGATAAGATAAGACGATTCTAGAGGTGTTCTTGTTTTTTTTTTTTCTTTTTCTTTCTTCTTTCACAATCGAATATACTTTTATTATATTTTTCGGTACTTTTAAAAGTGGAATAAGGGTGAGGAAAAAAGAAAAGCTTGTCTTATTCTTATTCTTCCTCGGTTGTGTTGTTTCGATACTCGACGCTTTTACACGCTACTGCGCGTTGTGAAAACATCAGTGTACACGAAGAAGAGAAATGGGAAACCACCCGTCCGCCCACCAACCGCTCGAGAGGGCTACCAGCCATGCTGGAAATGGTCTTCGTCTTTCGGTATGTTCAACGTATTCCTCCCCCCACCCAGCCCCCTTTCTTCCTCTTCGACTTTAATTCTTGTTTCTTTTTTTTTTTTTTTCACATGCCGATTTCCATCCTTTCAATCCGATAATTTATCCAATTCTCGTCCCATACTCCAATAAAAATTTTTCCCGTAGAAAATTCACGAAACTAATTTCTAATTTTATTTCATTTCAATACTTTTCCTTATTTTTAATTGTCAAAAATCCTTATTTTTCTTTCCCCCCCCCCCTCTCAAATTCCAACATTTTTTTTGTTGATGTGTAACGTCGTTCAATCGATCAAATATTTTTGATAATAATAATAATTAATTAATTACCGATTATATCGTATTAAATTGAATTCGTGCTCGATATAATAATATTGTTTTTTTTTATATATATATATATATAACGAATATAAAAAGTGTTCGCTAACACGATTCGTGAAAATCAAATTTCATTTCTTTTTAGCACCGGTTTTTCAGGTTTTGAATTTGGGACGACTGAATATAAGCCAACGTGGGCGTATCCCCTCGTAATTTATTAATAATCATTCTGACAAAAGATGAAGACGTTTCTTTAACGAAACTATAAATAATGTTCAACATAATTATTGTTATATCAGTCATTAAGTTTTACAAATGATTATGTTTATTATTGATAAAACAATAATTTTTATCTATGAATATGTTACTTTAATGAGAACTTGTGTCACACATTTTTTTTTTTTACACAACATATTTAATAGAAAATATTTTTCTTAGAACGTGACGTCATTGACTTGTACGATCTCTCTCTCTCTCTCTCTCTCTCTCTCTTTCTTTTTATATTCGTTTCTTTCTTTGAATATTTATTATAAGAGGTTCCCCTTTGTCCTGTGTACAGAATTCTTGATAGTACACTGCGGAATGTCTTTTGACGAACATACTATGCGACCGTTATATAACGTTGTATTACTGTCGACATTGTTCACATCTTTATCACTCTATCTCTCTCCCTCAAATATTAATTCCTTGTTCTAATCGATCGAATATTAAATCATCAAGAGAGAGAGAGAGAGAGAGAGAGAGAGAGAGAAATAGGGGGAGTGAGATTGTTCGAATGATTGAGAAATATATTGTTGAAAATAATTTCATTGAACGATTTAATTCGATTGAATATAATTTCATTTATTCACATTTACAGCGCTAATATATAATAACAAATTTACGAATATATAAATTGTATGAAAAATTTCATTAATTTTGTGAAAGAAAATACGCAAGATTTCCGATTTTAACGTTTAATTATCGTTATTGAAAAATTTCCTGCAAACGTTGAGAAAATAAGGTCGGAAAGTTTAATCAAAGTTTTCAAACGATTCACTCGTCGAAGGTTGGGATGTCATAAATCAGTTACAGGGTCAATTTAAACAGTCACATTTCCCTAACGATTAACTGAGAATAGAGAATTTGTTTCTATGACGATAAGAATTTAAAACTAACGTTAAAATTACGTTGATACGTTACGATTATTACTTTTCTATAATGTTATATAATTATTATTTTATCTGTACACTTTCATGTTCATATTTATTGCAAATATATTTTTTCGTCAGATAAGAAATACTTCTTCGTTAACGTAAAAATAAAAAAACGTCCAGTAAAAAAAGTTACTTAACGTTGAACCTACCACTTATGGTCGAATGACGCGCGTCCTGTAATTTGTACAAAAAAAAAAAAATAAAAAGAAGAAAAAGAAAAGAAAATGAGATAAAAATTGATTAAAATATAATATAATACACATTATTCGTTTTTTCAAAGAAAAGATAAATATTTCGTTCGCACAATCCAATTGGCAGAAAAATTGTATTCAAATTGTTTTGAAATCGCGTTCATTTGAACAAAAAATAAACATATATATATCAAAATATATAAATAGTATAAAAAAATAAATATTACGAAAAGTGTCCTTAGATAAAGTGTTAATCTCAATCAATAAGTATTATAACATTTATTCTAATTGTGAGTTAAAAACAAGCCAAAAAAAATGGTCATGTAAAACCTAATGTAATTCGATGTAATCTACTATCTCGAGTTTGTTAACGAAAGTATAGCAAGTTAAATAAATCATTGTAATTCTTAGTCGAATAGGTATATTCACGTTGTTAAAACATTTCAACTGGCAAGTTTTAAAGCTGACAATGAAAGAGAGAGAGAGAGAGAGAGAGAGAGAGAGAGAGAGAGAGAGAAACAACATACTTAGCCTTCCTCCTGGCTGCTTTTCGAAATGTTTATTTTTATCGTAGATTGAAAAAGAAAGAAAGAAAGAAAGAAAGAGGAAGCTTTTAACCGGTAGCTTTTACAGGAGCTCACATTTTAATCCCAGTTTAGACGATGCATCGTTTTTGTATGGTTTATAAATTCAGGGACGAAGAAAAAAGTGGACTAAGAGTATACAGAATGGATGGGTTGAATAAGAAAAGGGATATTATTTTGAAATAAACTGCTGTTCCTCCCTTTAACCCCCCCCCCCCCTACAGCCCCACTCATCTTCCTTACTTCATCGTTTTCGTGTATATGTTGTTGTTGTTGTTCTTGTTGTTGTGTTAACTTACTGTGCAATTTAATTACATGGCGTTTGTTACGCGCACTAATTAGAGAAATTACCTATCTGTCGTGTTTCCCTTCGCAAAACCCTTCCCCCTTTCACTAATCACCCCTTTCCCCTCTTTTCTCCTCATCTTGGATCAACTTAATCGACGATCGATCGGTCGTGTATGTATGTACCTTTACTTCTCTTACCTATATAACAAACGTATAATATATTTTTTTATCTTACCGATCTGTGACTCGTCAATTTGTTTCTTTTTTTTTCTTCCAACGACCCCTTATTTTCTCTCGTTACGGTAAAAAATTTCATTTTGATGTAACATTATTATTACTTTATTTGTTTTTTTTTTTTTTTTTTTTTTTTTTTTTTTTATTTTTTTTTTTTTTTTTTTTGGTATTATTATTTTTCGTTCAAACTGCAATTACATTTCGAGATCATTTCTGTGTCGTGTAAGAAAAGAAAAAAAAGCTTGTAAATGTTNTATAATATATTTTTTTATCTTACCGATCTGTGACTCGTCAATTTGTTTCTTTTTTTTTCTTCCAACGACCCCTTATTTTCTCTCGTTACGGTAAAGTAGTTTAGGTATAGAAAATATGATAACGAGTCGAATTCGTTTTTATAATTTTTTTTTTTTTTTTTTTTTTCTTTTTTTGGTATTATTATTTTTCGTTCAAACTGCAATTACATTTCGAGATCATTTCTGTGTCGTGTAAGAAAAGAAAAAAAAGCTTGTAAATGTTGTTGTTTTTTTTTTGGTTACGTGAAATATGATTTAGATTTTTTTACTAATGAAGGATATTATACATTTACGAATTACACACGTTAGTAAGATATATTATTTTTTAATAATACAAACCAATTTCTATTTTGTTTCCTCCCCTTTATAATAGAAATGGAAAAAAATTTATCTCCCACGGGGGGATTTAAAAGGTGATACGTAAAGGGTAGAAAAGAAAAAAGAAATTTGTGGTTATCCTTTGAGGTTGTATTTCAGGAAATATTTCTTTGCGTACCTTTGGATTTTCTTTTGAGCGAATGTATGTGTCTACTTTATGTGTGTGTGTGTGTGTGTGTGTGTGTGTAGTTGGAACGTCTGGAAAACGTTGCGGTCAAAAGCAGAAAAGCTTTAACATCGTGAATTTCTCGGTAGAAGAACAAAGTTCAATTTTACGACAACGATGAGTAAGAGGAGTGGGTTACAAGGGGGTGGAGGAGGAGGAAGAGGAGGAGTTCTTGATGGATTTGCGGATTTGCTTCGTTGAAATATTTCAAAGTCGTGTTATCGTTTTTGTTATATGCTCGTCGTCTATTAATATTCCTGTTAAACAATTTTCCTTTTTCCTTGTGCATAGACTTTTTTTTGTCTTTTTTTATTATCGAGAAAAAGATACTCTGTAAAAACATAAAAGAGAGAGAGATGATCGTAAAACTATCAGCAAATATTTCACCGTAAGATTATTGTTATGATTCGGGTTTTCGTAAACGCGAGGATTGTGATCAAAATCTTGAAACATTTTAACATTGATTTTAACATGGTTATGATACTTGGGAAATACTTGAATTGATTATGTTTTTCATGTTAACAATTTGTAATTTATATTAATTTGTTCTAGATATTTATTCATTTATTTATTTATATTTTAGCATATCGGAATCGTTGATTATAATAATACACGTGTAAGGAAACGTGTTAACAAACATAAGACACAACAGAGATAATCGAATTTATATTATTATATTATTTCAATGATTATTGTCAATTTTTGATTATTAGCCATCTGTATTTGTCGCGTTTGATTGTTCAGTAAAATGAATTATATAATATATATATATATTTCTATAAATAATATAATAAAAATATTATATTATCCTATAACTTTGGAATGTATAATTTATGATGATTTTAAATAAGATACTATAACAATGTAGGTCAGTTATTAAATAATTGGTAGGTGGTGCTGTTATCATGTTCGTCGTTCGATTAATCAGAATTTCAAAACAGTTGCTCATTGGAAATCATCATGATACATCATATTTTTTATACGATTAAATGTATAACATACAATATAAATAAGAAAGATAAAAAAAAAAAAGAAAAAATATTCGATAAGTATGAAAGAAAGTATGAAATATATATTATGGGGGATAAACGATACTTATTAATTCTGGAATTTAACATGCGAATTCCTCGTTAATTAGTATATCGATTTTTGCAAAGGGAACTACTAACTTGATTAATATCGTTTTAACTGTAATACCTTGATACACATTGTCACGAAAATTTAATCAACTAACCGACACGTTGTATAACAAGACATTAACATCCGTAATAAATAATCGATCGCGATGTCATCGGGATTACTTGTTGGAATAATTAAGTAGGATGATTTTCTATCATGT